GAATAAACTGCAGTTATACTAAGTCCTTATTAATCCAATACCCATTTATGAAATACTTAATTTTTTTTATTTTCTATTAACAAATGGCATCACCTTCCAGTACGAAAAGAAGCCAAGTAGGAAGAAACTTCAGTCACATTTAGCCACTAGAGGGTGACTGAGCCGTTTTGGGGAAATATGTTTCAAAAGAGAACGCTTCTCACTTTATTTATCACGTCACTGAATATTTTCCAGGCAGTTTATGTTCTGGGTCACAACTTTCACAAATTGATGCCTGGCACACGCAAGGGTTGGATCAGAGTCTTTATGAAAAGGTCTTATTAGAAACCAAATGAACAATGAAGGGTCTTGGCTCACTGCTTGGTCCGTCAATTTAAAAACAATGATTCTCAGAAAGGTTGGCCAGGTCTTGGATTTTTATTATATGAGATCATGTGTAATATTTAAGGAGTTTGAGGAAAAACTGCTGCTTAACATGTGCAACCTTTTACTCCTGAACTAGTACTGCATGAGAAACAGCCATGCTCCCACTGTGGACATCACCACATTGTTTCAGCATAATTTTAGATTAGTTATTATGCAGTTCATTGTGGCACAAAAATGCTTCAAATCAGATAAAAGGGGGCGCCAGACGTTCATTTCATGCAGAAATGCCAAGATTATCTTCAGCCCAAATTCACATGAAATGGAGCAAAAAAAATGAGCTTCGTTCATGTTTCAGCTCGTTTTGTGAACACAATAGGAGACGAGTTCTGTGGCAAACAAATGACCAATTAATACTTCCTTTAATTAATACTGCTCGTAGAGATTCAAACGTAAAACTGTCCTGCCTGCAGAGCAGATCTGTTTAAAAAAAACCTAATAATAATTTTGATTCAGCTTAAATCAGTAGGAAAACACAACGTTGTTATAGAGCAGTGACGGGCAAAATAAGGCCCAGGGGCCGTATGCAGCCTGTTCAGACTTTTAATCTGGTCTGTGAAACTTTTTCAAATTATATAATTTATATTTATTTTTATATTTATATTAACTTTATACTTCTGCCTTTTCCCTGCAATAACCACCTTTCCGCAATAGATGGCGTAGGAAATGATAATGGAATTTTATCATTTTAGCCTTTATGTATGACATTAACATGTCATTTATCTTAGTTCACATGAACGCTCCATCTATCTGCTCATAACCCTAACCCTGTTCAATTTTGGACCCATCGTGGCCCGAGGATCCAAGCAATTGAGTAAACATGAGGAGGGGTCAACTCACTGGTTCATTTTTCTCTGCTCCAACATTTTCCGTTGTACTAAATACATAGTAAATTTAAGAATTATTTGAACAAATATCATGAAGTTATTCAGTGAAACACTGACGTTCTTTCTGACCTGGTTTGTGATTGTTAAAGGTTGAACTGCGTTTTTAAAAACAGCTTTGTACCTGGGATTCATAATTCTGTCTCTTACTGATATTCAAGCCTTTTTTTCCCCACACGGGAAGTCAGTCCAGCTCTGAAGCCAAGTGTCAGGATGTATCGTTCATACAGAAAGACTCTATTTCACTTTCAACAGATACTTCTACGGATGCTAACAGGCTAACGTTAGCTGTAGCATGGTAGAAGTCTGGCTGTTCTTGAACTATTCTCTTCCTTTAACTCTCTCTCTTTGTACACAGTTGATGCAATAAAACAAACAGTATTCTCGAGTTAAAACAAACAGACAAACACAGAACATCTCACATCACACAGAACAAAGAAGGCATGAAAGAAGTAGGTGAACAGAAAAAGAGGCTGTCGTCGGTGCAGGCATCATCGGCTTTCAGAAGGCAGGGTGAGAGAAGTGAGAAAAGGAAAGTTCACGTTGGTAAATCTAAGCTGCTTCAGTTTTGATATGTAAATAAAAGTGAACGCGGCTCTGAGGAATCATGAACAGTGTGTCAATAATCTCAAAACTCACTTCCAAACACTAACATACTGTACATTCACGGAGCAGACCTCAGCACCGTCGCTGAAATACACACATTCAATATTTCTAATGACAAAGTATTTTTAACGTATAATATTTGAGTGTGGCTTTCTGTGTTGCGTCGTTGTCACGTGAACCTAGAGGTCACAAAAATATATGTACATGTAACTGGTTTACTGCTGTTGTAGACCATAGACAGTATGTATGAAATGGAAGTAGCCGCTCCAATGCTGCTGCAGTTTATGTTGTGAAAAGGAACTCTATGACCAAACTCTTAAATGTCACATCAGTTTGCAGAGTCACTTTCCATTTTGCTTCAGGTCTTATTTGGTGTTCAGTAGAACATGGTCACAGTTGGATTATTGAATGTAAGTGAGTAATTGAATTATGATCCCATTTAGGAGAAAATGGAGAATAGAGTTTGGCTGCGACTTAACTGTCAAATTAACACAGAACCGTGAACCACAGATTTTGTCCACTCTCCCACTTACCTAATTGAATTGATATTATAGATGATGGAGAAGACCTTTACCTAAAACTACTGAGTGGCTTCAGTTGTTTCTCAGGAAAATGAACCATTCTCCCATGAAACTACAGCTCTTCTGCTTCTCACAGCACACTGTGTTTCTAGCTGCCTGAGTTTACTGCAGCCATAGATCATAACCAGATGGTCCGGCCCATTTCTCATACCAGTCTAAGTATCAACAGACAGTCTCCTAGCTGTGTGTGTTTTCCTGATTTGTTGCTCTGAGCATCAGTGCCACAACACAGAAGCTGTGTAACCATGTGTAAGATTAGATTTGTACGCTATATTTCATGACGCTCTGTGAGATCAGTAAACTTCCCAAGACACTTCAACGTGGCGAATTCTCAGAATGTCACCTTTTGTCTCTATTTCTCATGGAATGTGCACCAAACGTCCACTAGAGGCTTTTCATTTTTTAATGTATGAAACGCTCTGACTGACTGACAGTGTGTCACAGTGTTGTCTGTTGTTTTGCCAACAGACCAAAAGTATAATGCAGAAAATATTTCCAGCCAATGGTAGTGTTTTTTTGCTGCTGTTGTCCATATTCAAAAATATGAAACATAAATGATGGCTTTACTAAAAATCATTCATTTCATATTAGTTTGTTTTCATGTTTGAATGTGAATGTTGAATGTATGACATAAAGCAGTACAGTGTGCAGGGATCTGTACATTTAAATGTACTATAAGTTAACAGAACATATGTGGACCTCCAGCCCAATACCCCATCATTCAGTTGAATCCTCCCGCCCCCTCAAAAAAAAAAAAAAAAAAAGTTTGGCTTTGGTAACCAGTGATCACCCTTCATTTATAAGGACTGCACCTCATGACATACACCAGACTCACTGGTAAGAACAGCAGTGAGTTAGTTGGAGGTTGCATTTGCTGCATCAGCTGCAACAGTGAAAGTATAATAATACCTTGTTAGGTTAAACCAAATAGAAACATTACACCTACGTCCTCAGCTTCAATAACCTACGGTACACCTGTGTTTTGTGACTGGCAAAACAGGAGAAAACACAGCAGGGGGCAGCAAATGAACACAACACTGTTTACATCCCATGACCCGATCATAGTGACTGGGGACTGATTGTGATTCTGTCCTCTGTTAAAATGGGATCCATGCATAAGATACTGTAAAAAACAGAAAAAAAATCCAAAGTCACACACACACTCACTCACACACACACACACACACACACACCAAGCCCCCACACTGTAATCTCTGTCAGCTATGACTATATGCAGCAGGACTCGTCTCCTCTGTGGACCCTGCTGACATGAAAACACACTGTCTCCTTGGGTTGACTCTTACACAGCACTTTGCTGCTCAGAGCAAAACAGGACAGGATGATGTCATCGTTTAGGCTAAAAAACCTCTGTCGACGTAAAACTTTCGTCCTGTAGTCAGGCTTGAGTCATTGTTTCTCTCCCGTCTGGTTTTCATACCTTCCCAGCGCTCCTAGCATATTTCTGTAAGGTACACAATGCTTCGCTCAGTTGTGCTGAGGCTGGATTAAAAAGGCTGATCACCCAGCAGCTTTAAAGCACCTGGAGCAGAGGCAGACACACACTTTCTGGCTGGTCAAAGGCAGCGGTGGGGAATTAAGGCAGCTGTCCCCCAGGATAAGATCGTCTGAATACAAATCTCTTAATGATGCTGTTGACAGTGAATACAACCTTCTGACAGAGACACAGTTTGTTTTTGCATGTGATTTTTCTCCCCGTTTCTTCATCGTTGTGACACACATGGTCACCACCGCTCAGTCCAAAGGTCTCACGGCTCTACTTAGGTGGTATGACAACAAGCGGAGGCCCTCTCCTGGGCCTCCACATTAGAACCTGGGCGTCATTAGCGTTGGGCCTCTCCATGGCGTTTGCAGGAATGGGCTCCATGCGGGTTAGCACCCTGGGCTGGTCCTGATGTAGTCGGCCCACTAGCCGCGCCCTGGTGCCCAGAGGCAGAGATGGATCCACCGCGATATCAACTCTCATCCTCCACTTGATGGTGTGGAGCAGAATCTTTTCCCTGGACGCCGTGTTGAGCGCCACGAGCCAGGTGGTGAAACTCTGGTCCCGCTTGATGTTTGTTAGTAAGGGTGTGTTGGATTCACTGACCGGCACGGCCCAGGTGACGCTGGGGTAGAAGTTGTCGTTCATGCTGACAATGAAGCGAGAAGACTTGGAGGTGGGGCCCACTATGGTGACGGTCTCTGTTGTGTTTCCATACCAGGGGTAGCTCACACCGTCAGAGTCACTGATGGCTCTCACCAAACCCTCCCTCAGCTGAGGCAGCTCCCAGCTCGACCTGCAGCGGCGATAAAAAAAAGAATATCTGAGCATCCAACAGAAGATTTAGTCATTTTACAGATGGAACTAATTCTGTTCTTTCCTTTATTTCCTGTCACAAATATTCAATGCATGTGTAAAAAAAGTGACTTTTCACTTTTTTCCATTCTAACTGCAATTCTAAAAGATGAACCCACACAAAGCTCTCAGTTTAACAGTGGTGACGTATGGTTTATAGACAGGGGCAGAGTTGAAGATGAGGTGATGAAGGTGTGGTTGCTGTGGACAGACAGAGGATGTGGAATATATGTACATTTGGACATATTTGTGGACATGTGTGTACAGTGTGTGTATTATATACCTTTTTAAATATTTAAGATATGGAGAAATACCTTCTACACATCCACACCTCTTTTTACCTGAATAATATTTTTTCGTGGACCATGAGGTTGAATGCAGAGCCTCATGTTGAACCACCCTGTTTCATTGTAAGCCTATTTCAGATTAAATTTTAATTAACAAACAATTTACATTTAACACTAGTTATAATTCAGTCCTACAGAGGACCCACTCTGTTGTGGTTTTTGTAAATACGGTGTGTCAGTGATTATTTTCTACCTCTCCCACAGATTGAAGTCTAATGTTGTGGTCCAGTCAGGGTTAGAGGTTGGTGACCATATGGATTTAACACACAAAATGACTTGATGGGCCACATTTGGTCCCCGGGCCTTGAGTTTAACACATATGAGCTAGACCAAGAAAATACATTTTCTGATAACAAAAAATAAAAAAATAAAAATTCAGCGCTTGGCATAAAATGTCTCACATTATCAATGTCAGCCAGTTTAGGAAATGATGAAAACAGTCTGTTACTCATGTCTGGAGATGGCATATTCATGTTTATATTCATGAGTCTTTAAAAGTTGTCATTCCAGAGCCGAGCTGGCGTTGAGCAGCGTCTGTGAGTGCCACCTCACGGCCGTAGACTGTGTTTTAGTCAACACTTAGTGTAGATCCTGAGGCTCATCCTGCTCTATCTGCTCAGCTCTCATGGTCAGCCTGACACACACACACACACACACACCACCTCAAGCCTTTGCTCTCACCCTCGTACGCCCACTCTCCAAACCCAAAAGGGATTAAACATCCCCCATCCATGCCTGGTGGGGATGTGGGGGAGGACATGTCTCTGTGGGCACAATTTGTGTCTGAGTGCAGCAACTGTTGTTAAGCTCTTCTAATAGCAGCTTTCCTATTTAGGTGCCAAAGTCACAGGAACAGAATCTGTTGGTGGGCGTTTGAATGAAGGAGTACAGTTAACCTGCTGTGTGCACAAATGCTCCGTCATCTTTACCTCACCTTTTTCACAGCAACCGTTTCCAAATGTTGCCATTAGACTCAGAGGCTTCCACCATTTACTGTCACATACTGTATGAGTCACAGTCATTTTAAAACAAAGGCCTATACTGTACTGTATGCACTCTACTGTCATCAACGTCTCCAAACTGTTTCACCTTTGATACAAAAACTAATAACCAAATCTCCTGATGTAACCCAGCACATTTGTTTGAGTGAATTTCTGAAGTGCCAACAAATCTGAATATACTTTAACACAGATCCTGGTTTACAGTTCATTTAAAGTACGTGTTGATTAAGGAATAACTTTGCACAGGTGAATCAGTGACATCCACACTGAAACTGTCGTCACAAGGTGTGCTGAAGCATCTACTGTGGGGTTAGGGTAACATCTTCTTCACCTGACAGTTGGGGTGTGATTTGACCATATACCCTGCTTTTATTTTGTGTAATACCTACTTAATTTTACTTTTTTTCTAAACATAATTTAGTTGTTCTTGGAAGAGTCTCTCATTCTGATTCTCTTTAAAGTATGAAAGGTTATTTTAATGTCTGACGTCTTAATGAAACTTCTCATTTTTTCCCACTGTATATAAATAATAGTGATTCTTTTCTTTTCTAAGTTTCTACCAAAACATTTTGTTTTTAGCATCACTGAAGAAAAGCTTAACTTAAACCAAGTAATTTTTTATACTCTAATTTCAACTTGATCAGATTGTTTAGTGCATACATACGTATATAAATATATTATACGACATTATACAGACTAATATATTTTAGTGCCTGTAAATACAATAAACTCCTGTGTGTAGTTTTTCTTAACCTGCATCAAATGTATGCATTTTTTTAATCTAAATAATCGCATGTTGAAGTGTTTAGAAACACGTGTACATATATCAGCAGCTTCATTAATTGAACTACTGCACTCGTACACGAATCTGACACAGTGTGACCCAGGTGTGACAGCGCCGTGAACTCACATGCCGATGTCTCCATAGGTGTTGTAAAATTCCATCTGGGTGCAGGCTTGGATCCAGCCCACCACCCAGGTTTCATTGCGGGGAATGGGGGGCATCACAATCCGTGCTGCGGCTTTGAAATAGGGCGTCCTGTAGCGCAACACTATGGGCGAGTTCTCCTCGATGACAGTGGGGCAGTGGTCTATGGTGGCCGACAGGTCGTACACCACAATGTTCTCACGTTTGATGCGGGACTTGTTACAGGCGATGCTCTGGATGCAGCCCATGTCTGCACAGGTGAGGGTGGTGCAGGTCAGCAGCAGCAGCAGCGGCAGCCAGGAGCACAGCTGACCGGGACCGGGACTGATACTGGGTTCAGGTGCATCAGATAAGAGTCTGGGCTGAGGCAGAAGTGGTGCCACAGTGCACAATAGAGGCCTGATTCAAAAACACAAAAGAGCATCAGAAACCGGCTGCACTCTGACCGAGTTCTTGTCGGTCAGCTGTGAGGGGGCATCGAGCAGCTACTGGGGTCTTTGGCTGCTGACCCTTGGTCTCGGTCTCCCTGAAGGCCAAACCAGAAACGTCCTCGTGTCAATTCAATATAATACAATAATATTCCGTTACTGGCGCTGTAGCAGTGGTCTCTGTGTTCCTTCCTTGCTCCTTTCCTCCTCCAACCTCAGCCAGTAACCTTTGATCTTCCTCTTCCTTCCTCGGGCTGTCATGTCACAAGAGCCGCCTGTGTAGCAGTGGACATCGGGGAAACAGCAGCAGAGGTACCCGGTGTTCGGGCAGCGGTGCTTGTTGTTGATGCGGTAATGCACATGAGATGCTGCTGCTGCTGCTGCTGCTGCTGCTGCTGCTGCTGTGGCAGCCTAAAGCCCGATGTTTAGCAGTGTCACGGTCCTTCATGCCTGTCGACTGGACTTGAAAGAAAAACAGATGAAGCAACGTGAACCTGGGAGACAGCGCATCTGTGATGCCGCCGCCGCCGCCGCCGCTGGTGCTGCTGCTACTGTTGCTGGAAACAGATTCTTCCACCGGATGTAGAGTTGCATTGACACGGTCAGTCAAAGAGCCTACACCGGGAGGGAGACGATATTTCTCAGAAAGTAAAGATCAGAGTGGTGAAGCCATGTCATGAAGAAGCTGAGATGAAGAACATCAGCAGCATCCTCTCTGCTGCTCCGTGTCGCTGTTCACTCTCCGTGGTGCTGAACCCGAGGCTGAACGAGCCAATGGGCGACTCGAGGCGTAGGAGCGCCCGTTACTGCACAGTAGTAGCTGTGTGACACCCACCACCACCCCCACCCACTACTCCTCCACCCATATTGGAACAATGCTTTCTTATTCGATGTTCACGGATCATGATTTAGATGAAGAAGCCCTTTACTGTGGAATCCCTGTGTTTGCTTTTTCCATACACACTGCAAGCAACAGGTCGCAACTATGCGTAAATCTCTCAGTCCATAAATGTTATTGTACATTACTGCTCTGAATCACTAACATGACATCAGATAATTCGTCGTCTATCAATGTGTGTGGGTATCACACCAGTGGTCAAGGTTTACCTCCTAACATGGCATGATGGATGGCAAAATATAACCATTCATAATTCTCCGGGATTACAAATTAAAAAGTATTCCCTCTTTAATTATCTTGCTTTGGACTATGAGAAGAACCGCTGAACTGCTAATCTTTTTCATGTGTAAAGTAAAAAGACACAAACAAAAATACTTTTAGACAAAATCTGATTATCATACATTTCAATTTTGTCTTAATGATGGCATGGGATAACTTTGCCAATAAGTTTATGATCAACTGAAAGTTTGAATTTGGCTTTGAAACCTGTTTTTATTTTACACTTACTAAATAGGCCTACTTTACTATGCAAAAAATGCTACAGGCTCACACGGGGATTTTAGTGGCTGATATTAATCGGTGCATTAGACTTTAACAAGTACTTTTAATTAAAAAGTGAAAAATAATTTAGTTACAAATCAAAAATAAAAGCCCACTATCACTTACACGTTTTATTTTGAAAGTCCACACTTGTGTTTTGAGTTGAGACGTAATTTCCGGGGAGGTGGCCACCGATGCTGCTGATTCACATGTGGAAACATCGTATCGTTTTTTAAATAAGTTAACATGCCAGAGTCGACTCTGTAAACATACTTTGTCAACGGAGTTCTTCACCATTTATCATGGTAGGCGTTTGTGTTTATTTCACCTGATAATAAACGTTTTAAAGACTCATTACTGAACAACATGCTAAGCTAGGCTAATTCAAACTGCTAATAAAGCTATGTGGTTACTCTGCTGTTGTTCAGCAAAACAGGTGCATCTTATTACTGACTGTTTTCTAAGAAATTAACTACATTACCCTTCAGGTTTATTAATGCTTAAAATGTTATTATATATATATTTATATTTTAAATACAACTCAGTGTAAAGTTGGTTTTCACCAAAACAATTAAACCCAATGATGAAATTATTGTTATGTTCTTATTATTATAGTTGTTTATTCATTTCATAACTTTGGATTTTAACTATGTTTTAACAATGTGTTGTTTTCGTTTTATATTCATTGACAATTATTAGAGCATTTACACACACACACACACACATATATTCAGTATATGTAGTGTGAAATAATATTAAATATAAAATTCAACGTCTTTTATCTGCAGGTCCCTTCAGACTTTAAAAGCCTAATCCAGAGGTTTTATCATCTTCAGTCTGAGCGTATAGAGGCCTATCGCCTTTTTGAAGAGTAAGTATGCAGTTGTCAATCATAATGGACACTCCTAATTTACTTTTCAATTAGAAGTGTCATCTTAAATAAAAGAATTAGACTTTGTCTTTCCCCATCATTTAACCTGTCTTGTACATTATCTGTGTCAGTATTATTTTTTTTCAATTTTTTCAGTTGTTTTTATTCTTCCTAAATTTGCATTTGTTTCAGGATGTGTCATTACTGTTTCTTTAGTTTAAAGTGCACAATGGGAAAAAATATAATTTGCCTTATAAATTTCATCTGTTTATCTTTTAACATGTTTGTGGGTGATGGTTGTCTTTTAGGGGACATGAGGCCTACTTGAGGACGGGGCCCCAGTATGACTTTGACCACTACAGACAGTTGGTCCATGAAATTACACAGGCCTTCAGTGGTATCTCTAAAGAAGTACTGGAGATCAAGGGGACACTGCATCATAATTTTGACAGACCAGACCTCTCGGAGCACATCGAGAAGCTGCAGAACAAAGAGAAGCAGAAACTTGAACTGGTAGGAAACTCTTTGTTTTTTTTTTGTTTGTTTTTATTTTTATATGGAATAATTCTGTCAGAACCACATTCAGATTAGAGAATGAGAAAAACCAGGAACCAAACCAAAGATATCCCTTTACTTACGTTAGAGGCGTCCTCTGGTGTTTGTCTTCTGCGAGCACTTCTTTGTTTTTCTAGTAATTTTACCCTTTCTTTGGCAAACGGTTGGTACATGTTTGGATGAAAATGTTTGCCAAGGGAAAATAGACCCAATAGGAGGCGCTAACAGAACTGCAAGGTCTGAGCTGACTTGGCAAGGGCTGAGTTAAAAAGAAACAAAGTCAGCGTGAACAGATTCACACTGCCTTGTTGCTGTAATTATACCCTCGCAGAGATGTTTCTCCCTTGATGTTGAAAGCCAGACTAAGAAGCTAACTATGTTATATATAAGATGAAGGCTGTGATAAACTGACAGGATTATGTTCATATGAAACTTTACTGTTGTTCTATGGACTCGTGGAGACAGAATGGTATCAGTGTTTGTATGTTGCTCTGCTGTTACTGAATGAATGAATGAATAAATAAACATTGTTGTACCGGATGTCTGCACAACTGTTAGACACCTGTACAAATTAAAACACACAAAGAGTAGCTTTATTTGTTTACTCTTCATGTTCTGATCCCTAAATGGGAGGTTGCTTCAAAATTGACAAATCATTCTTTGAACTGCTGCCTGTTATTAAGGGGGGAAGCAAAAAGTTTATATAAGTACTGTATGACTGTAGTTCAGCCCAGTTTAAGTTTTTGGTACAGTTCCTCTCTCTCAACACATGGGGGCAGAGTTTCTCACTGTTAAATTCCAGCTATGTCTTCGAATGAAGGAGACAGCAACTACTGAGAATGTAACACTGTGACCAACCAGATAATTTAAGAGAGGAAAATGAGAAATATAAATATGCTATATAAAATATGTTTATATCAAATCATAATACCATGATATCTGAATAAGGCCGTCACACTGAGTAATGAAAATGTGGGGGATTACAAGGACAACAATGCACATTACAAGGACAACAATGCAAAAAAGAGGACAGATCGGTCAAATATACAGTATAAAGTGTGTGAAAGCTGCTGTACTGTATAATTTAATGATGAAAAAATGAACATTGATGGACTTTTTTATAATTTAATCAGTTTTGTTCTGCTGTTCATTTGACTCACACTCAAAAACAATGTTCCTCACACCAACCAGGTGAACAACGCTCAGCTGCTGATTTTTATGAGTTCAATGTCTTATTGACTGTTTGCAGTGCTCTGTGTAAGATGCTGTCATGGTGGATGACCTTAAAGCTGTGGTCACTGAGGTCCCTGGGGTCAAACCGTATACATCCTGCCTTTGTGAAAAATTGATTAAGTGCAGGTTTTATACTGACACTGATGTCTCAGTTAATGAGACTCAGCTAATAAGTTGCACTTTTTAATTACGCAAGGGCGGACATGAAGTTTAGCCAACAGCAGCAGCATTTTAAATAATAGATGTAGTTTTTAAGCTGAAGATCCGTCCATGCTGATCTAGGTTTTTTTTTAACACACAGCTGACTCGTAAAGGTTTAAGGTATTTATAACCAGCTCTGTGAAATTCTTTTTCGACTGGACGTGTTTGTCCTGAACAACAACCATTTTATTGGAGTATAAATTTGTGACATGAAAAGCTGTCGGTCTGCAATGCTCATCATGTGTGCAGAGACGGGGTTCAGTCAGACGAGTGTTAGAAGGTTAACAGCTCCAGTGGTTCCCCGCATTCTTGAAGAGTCGGCATCTTCTCCATCTGGTGCTCAGTGTTGATGTGTAGCACTTTTGTATGAAGTTTTACATAAAACTTTTTATGAAGCTTTTTATTATCTTCCAGTTCATCCTGTGCCTCTGCTTGATCCTGCACTGATGAATGGTTTGCATAAATCTTGTTTGATGTGCTTTCTCCACAGACGGCCAAGCTGCAGCTGGCCAGGCAGCGGGCCCAGGATCACCCCGAGGACGAAGACTGTCAAGAAAAGATCCAAGAGATCAGGCACGAGTAAGAGCAGCCATTGTCACCCGTGTTTACTGTGTTGACTCCCCGCTGACCCATTTACTATCTGACTGACTCTCAACCTGCTGTCGGCCGGAGAACTGCTCGGACGGGTGGGGGTTTGTGTGCTCTCTAACAGCCCTGTCTTTTGTTACCAGTCTCATTTAATGTTGCTGGGAGATAAGTTGTTGTAGATTTACACAAATTAAAAAAAAAAAACAAAAAAACAATGGTTCCAATTAAATGTGCATCTGTTTTCTTGTCCTCTCCAGAATGATTAAGAACAAAGAGGCCTTGAGTGAGATCATGCAGGACTTTAAGTATGACTCAGAGGAGAGTGATTGACAGGTGACTCCCCGGAGTCCCGCAGCCGCCCTCGTCATAGCACAGTGGGGCTGACAGGTCAACTCTCCTCTGCTGCAACTTCCATCCTGGACCTCTCGGCTGCAGTTATAGAATCACTGCACCCAGCTGCCCTGTGGCTCCACCCTGCTCACTGCTGCAGTCTTCTTCCACCCAAGAGGGCCGTCCACAATCCTTGTGCGTTTCTGTGTGCGTTTCTGTGTGTTTCTCTCAGGGTTCATGCAATTTTTTTTGCAGTGCATGCCACCGCAAAAAAAAAAACAAAGAAAAAAATGAAATTAAATGCGTGTACTGTAACGACGTGGATAAAATTAAAAAACGGTAAACAAATTGACAAAGATTTTTTAAAATATATTTTTAATAAAACACTTAATTTTGTTAACATTTCATATAGCATATTTGTCATGTAACCTTAGGTGTAACGTTCATAACTAGACAAAAGTATATATAGTATCAGAGTGTGTACCCAGGCCCACTGTGTTGACTTTAACTGAAGTAGAAATGAAGGAATTTTAGTTTTTATTTCAACCACTTCTGCTTTATTACATGTTCAGGGGTGAGGAGATCGGGGGTGAGTCTGGGTGAGTGGAGACACCCAGACCCACAGCTTTAACAATCTGAAGGTAGAGTCCACGAAAAACGTAATAGAAGAGCATGAGTGGAGAGGCTGCAGAAGCTGCTGTAGACATTTATAAGGAGCTCAAAGACGTAAACGTTCAAGGTAAAAAGAAATTCTCTTGTCAATTGTTGTCCCTCAAATGATACAGTTAAAAGTCCAGCGTTTATCTCCAATGTTGCATCTCATACATTCCATAAACCTTTCCTGATGTTGCCATCTGTCTGCAGTCACACTGAAGGTCAAATACTGAGTGTCCTGAATACAGAATCACTGCGTTGGTGTGGTATTTGATGGGACTGGCAGTAAATAAGAATTTTACTCGGGTTGAAACCTGTTATTTGTTTGTTTGGATGCTATGATGGAGTCTGTAATTTACATTCCACAGTAGACTGACCAACAGTGTTAGAGAGAGTCTCTATTCCAATACTGACTGATAATATTTCCAACAGTGAATTTTTTTGAAAATTATATAACTGCCATTTTCGGTTAGTGTAACTGGTACTTTCTTTAAAACAGTCCACAAACTCCAGTTAGCTGGAACTTTGTCCACTTATATTTTCATGCCATATATTTTGATGTCATTATATCAACTGGATAATTTATCACTGAGGACTTTCAGACTGCACTTCCATTATTAACCTTTTTTTTAAGAAACAAATCTCATGATTCTTGGCATTATACATATCAATTTATCAAATGTATTTACAAATGCCCCCCCTGCCTCCTCCCGCCCTCCCTGCTCTCACCCCCCTCTGTGCAGGCAGTGTCGTAGCTTACTGTTACCGCAGTTAATCACATTGCTGGTATTAAAATACATTATACACATTTTCACAGGCTTGCGTAATTGTTTCATTATAGCTTCTGAACTGACTTAAGTTGACATAAATAAAAGGGCTGAACTGAAAGCATAACCTTTTTTTTTTTTTTTTGAAAACACTGAATAAAAGTGCAGTAACCGAGGGCATAAATGTACAAGTGTTTGTGCAGAGTCTGATCTGGCCAGCGGAAATAGCAGAAGAAGGCTGCATTGTCTCACTTCAGTTATCTTCCACTCGGGCCTTTTAAACTTGAGGCGGATGAGACCAAACACAGCAGAATCCCTCTGCCGAGGCAGCGGACCTCTCCCACAGCTGGGACACAAGAGGCCAGTAATCTGTAAGTGTTCTTAAATCAAACACCACGCTATGAGTTATCATCTTGAAGAATCTGCAGAGACAAAAGCAGACAGTTTAGCAGGAACGTCATTTATAATTACTAAGATAACTGCCCTCTGCCTGACTCCCTCCTCCTTCTTTCTTCTTCTTTGCATCATCTTTTTGTCATTCACAGTGCATAATTTCAACTCGGCTGCCACCGTCTCTCTAAAGGTGGGAACCTGTCACACTTTGACAACAAAGACGTTGGGCGACAGCTCAGAAAAAGTCACAGAGAGGAGGAGAGAGGGAGCGGCAGCCAATTACGTCAGGTAGATTTAAGTTTGGTTTGTTTTAGTTAAAGGACGAAGCGCCTGAGGATGTGGCTGAAGGGTCTTAACTCCTCACAAAGTCACATAAACAGCAGAGATGCCGGGCCTCTGTGTGCCATTTGGCCTGAGTTATTTTTGTGAAAGGGGGGTTCTTCGTGCCAAGAGGAAACAAAACACAAATGGAAGACATCACAGTGGGCTGTTAATTACATTTGCATGTTCATTTCTCTTTGTTGTGGTCATCAGCTCAAGATCAGAATTCTACATCATTAAAATATGTAATAAAATCAGAGTCCCACGACTGGAGAGCACATCCATGTTTAAGCCTCCATCTCTGGGCCAGTAAACTGAAAACCACACATTTTTACCTGATCATAAAGGACCCTCAGAGCCAGGCAGCCTGAGACAAATCAGTCCTGCTTGTGTTTGTAAAAATGCTGACCACATGCTCCAAGACAAGGCTGGGTCAGAGACTGAGCCTGTCAGTGCAGCGGTAACTGTTGTATACACAGTGGAGTTATACGTGTCTGTGTGCGTTTGTGTTCACGAGCTCTGGTTAGAGGAGACAAAAAGAGAGAAATACTGCTTACCTACCTGGTTGCGCGTTTTATGCGATTTCTGCAGCCACACCCGCCACTGATCGTACAGTTTGATGGACATGCCGCTGCAGCCATACGCGTGTTTGCGGACCCAGCCGAAGAACTGCTTGAGTTCTCGCCGCAGAGTGGAGTTCTGCTCGCTGGGCTTGGATTCACAGGTGCTGCTCAGCAGACGATCTGGGGGAGACAGGGGTGGGAGGAGGGAAGGGTGAGGAAGAGGGGGTGCAGAGAACACATAAGGGGGACTTGCTACTAAACGGTGGGAGGTCAGTGTGTTTTCAGTTATTTTCCTGGTACTGGTGAAACTGCAGCTCCTACAGGAAGTGATTTCATGTAGCTACGATGGCAGGTGTTAATGACGATAATGATATTTATATATTGATTTTCATTCATATTTATTCACTCATCTTTTACCACTAAATTCTTTCTAGGGCTGTGATAAGAGATGATAACATGGAGAGTTGACACCTGTCAATCAAACAACCATTTCAACTCACACTCGTACCTACTGTAGGGTCAATTTAGATTCAACAGTTCAAACTAATCCTACATCTGCATGTTGTTTGTTTGGACGCCAGAGTATTTAAATAAAAACAATGCACATGATGATTAAAAACATACAACCTTTTAAAAGGGGGATATTCTTGCCAAAGTTCTGTCATTTCTTTTCCTGCTTGGTTTAAAACACTAACATCATTGTGAAAAATGTCAGTAATTTCCCTGAAGAGGGACAAATATATATATGTGTGTGTGTGTGTGTGTGTGTGTAAAAAAAAATGAAATAAATTTAATTTCCCTTCCTGCAGCCCCCTGCAATAGCTTACCCAACCTCTAGGGTGACTTTGGGAACTAGTACTCTAAGACCTCTTTTGTACTCAGTCATGGAGGAAGTATTTAAATGTTAGTCTCATGTACGTAGCCAGAAAGTCCATGTGGGCCCAACAAGTGTGCACTGGACCACATGAATACTGGGGTGGCATACGTTTATGATCAAGACCTTTTTTTGGGGGGGTAAAACTAACTGCTCTGCCTTATGAGGAGACATTTTCTTTCCTTTATGTCAAAAATAATGATGATTCCAACACTAAAAATACACTAAAACCAGAGTTAAGTGCACTACAGTCTGACAGGGAATGATTTTCTGTTCCCAGATCCTAAACCTTGGAGGTAAAGCACCCTACTTGGGTTTCTGCTACTGAAAGTCATAAGTTTGCGATGATCACTTCTTCATGGTGAGTCCTGATAACAACTTCCTCCCTGTGCAGAGTGAATACCACATAACCTATATGTAACTCATTATCTGCTCCTTCTGCTCCCAAACCTGCTTCCACTCAGGCTTTATGGGTCCTGAGTGTGCCTCCAACTGACAACCAGCTTTTTAACTTGATCAATCTTTGAAGCCAACGACAAAAATCTATCAAACTTCCCCCTGGCTCCGTCAGTTCCTTCTCATCCCCGGCTGGGAGATCTCTATCAAGGTATGTGATGTTTGGTTTCTTTGGCGTCACATGCGGTTTACATCTGCTTAGTCAGGATGTTGAATCCAGGATAAGAACATTGTTTTTCTGACTTCAATTGGCAGAGAAAGGTGGCTTATTAGAGAGGGAAGAGTGGTCAAACTCTGTGGGCATCACAGACATTTGGAAGCATTTAAAAGCCATTTAAGCCTTGGAGAAGGAAAGACAGTGTTTATCCATGTAAACATGTGGTGGACAGCAGCCTGGGCAGTTGGCAGAACAGTAAAAGAGGCTTTTTTTTTTGGTTTCTCGCATTAAAGATTTTTGCTAATTTCTCCTATTTTAACCCAATGAACCGACGTGTTCTGGGCACGTACCACTGCTGGGGGTGGACGCTGCTGTCGGGTGACTCCAGTCACTCCAGATGCCGGCCTTTCTGGAGCCATAGATGCCCACTGGGTTGCACCTGACCTGGACAAAATAAACAGTTCCAGGATGGAGACCGGCCAATCGACAAGATGTCTGGTTACCAACATCATCCACCAGCTGCGACGCACAGAAATAGCACAAAACAGTGAGTCAGCGTTTACTTTACACACAGGGGAGAAAACACAGGCTTCATATTTAACAGTTTGGATCAGGCTTTGGTAATGTTTCCAACGTGTTCTGTTATTGCACTCAGAGAAAATATAAAAAATAGATCGTATTAACTTGATATGATCAGAAGTGAAGGGAATGAGAAGTGATTGGATAAAGATGTTTACATGAACTTCTCACACGTTTATTTATGTTTTTATCTCTTTATTTAAAACTCTAAATAATAGTAGTAAAATAGAACAAAAGCCAATAAAAATATTTTTGAAATAGCTTTGTAAAATCTCAGTCTGCCTTAGTGCCAACCTTCCATTCAGTGCTGTCCTCCAGTCTGTAGCGAATCTGATACTTGGCCTGAAACAAGATGTCCTTCAGCTCGGGGGGGCTCGTCCAGCGAACAGTCAGCTGGTCCTCCAGGTCACCGACGCGACTCACTTGAATGTCAGCAGGAGGATCAGTGGTCACTGGACACACGGAGAGAAATTTTACAAATTTACTAGTGGAAGTATATTCTTACTATTCTTATTACATTTTAAAAGAAGCGCAACAGCATATTAATACATTATACACTTTATATTAAAAAAATTAACTTAATAAAATAAAAAAAATCTTAAAATTGAAATGGACTTTAGGTGACAATTTAATTGATTTAAAAATAAGTCTTGAGTTTATTTTTTATAGCTTTTATCCCTGCTGCGGAGTGAGTAACTGAGAGGCTCTGAGTGAGTTTGGTTTTTCCTTCCTGTAGAGAAAAACACTTCAGGATTAAATAGAACTTAATCCAGTGTAATAAAGAGTGTAAAAAAAAAGTTCTTTGAAGTTAAGAGAGACGAAGATACAGGTGAAGATAAAACAGAAAGAGGAAGGAAGGAGTATCTTGTAAAGGTGTTTCCTGTGTCTTGTTATGTCAGCTGAAAAAGAACAACTGAATTATTATTGTCTCTGTCCAGCGACTAATTACATTAATTCCATACAATGGAAAACAGTTCTAAATGGTTTCCCAAATATCAACAAGACGATACATTTAATTTAAAAAAAAAGATTTATATGTGTTAGTTCCAGGAGAGCAGAAAACATTGTTTAATTAATAAAAAACTTACTTATTAAAAAAATAATTTCATCTCATTTCAAGTTATGAGGAGGCAGGAAAAGACATGAGAAGTACACACGAGTACTCCATAAGAAGAACAAGGAGGATCTGGTGTACATGCAAATATACTAATGTAAAATGAAATACAAAATAAGACTGACCTATGTCCAGGATGTCCAGGGTGGTGATGTCAGAGATCGCTGAGCCCAGCTGATTGGACGCCTCAACCCAAATCTCGTACGGGGTGAAGAGGGCGAGGTTGCGAGGGACGTAGCAGGAGTAACGCTGTTTTCCTGTGCTGTAGTTTTCACCCTCTTTCTCTCTGCCGTACCACCTGCAACGACACAGACAAACTGAAGTGGTCCGGACGTCCTGGGGTTTGATTTATTTAGGCTACCGTGAAAGTGGAAAAGTTATGAGACCAAAGTGATGGTAGGCTGAAGTAGAAGAATGAAAATATAGAAAACCAACTGTTTAGAAAGGCTGCAAAGAAAAACTCTTTAGGACTAGTACTGGTACTGTTGTCTGGTACTGTTGTCTGGTACTGGTACTGTTGTCTTCCTGCATGTTTAAACAGCGAACTGGTACTTGTTGTCTGGTACTGTTGTCTGGTACTGTTGTCTGGTACTGTTGTCTGGTACTGTTGTCTGGTACTGTTGTCTGGTACTGTTGTCTGGTACTGTTGTCTGGTACTGGTACTGTTGTCTTCCTGCATGTTTAAACAGCGAACTAACCCTTTCTATTAGTCTTTTTGTGCTGTGAGCTGCAGCAGATCTGGGACACTCACCTCAGTTTGTACTTGAGTGTGTACTTTGTTCGGATGTGGGTCTCACCCGGGCCTCCTGGACTCCACTTGCAGGTCAAGTCTTTTGTATTGCGGGACCAACATGTTAAATTGACGGGTTTTTCTGGAGGTGCTGGTTTTTGGGGGAGGAAATAAGATTCAATAATTTATTAGATAAGTACTATCTATGACTTGTCTAAGTCCTTTGGGAATAGCGTGAATGCATAAAAAATATATACTGACAGCAAACTGCAATATCATTGATCTAAAAAGAAGGCTCTACTACCTCATGGCCAGAGAGATTATTTGATGAACAACAGAGTTAGTGGAAAATACCCAAGATTAATCAGTTTAAACTTGAAAATGTTTCCATGTGGTCACTGTGTCCCGGTGGTCATTAGGAAACAGTGTACGACCTCGGAAGCGACTTTTAAAAGCTGTTGTTGTTATTAAATACAAACCAAATACAACAACAAAGTTATTTTCATCACTTCCAGGAGATTTGAAAGACTGGGTGGTTTTATTTGTTGTTTTATTTTTTCTAAAAAGCAGATACTTTAGGGTAAAAACTGGTTTGTGAGGTTTTTATGACATTTACATTTTATAAATGCATTTTAAAAAATCAATCTTTCTGCTTTTAATATTCCCGCGCTGTAATAGAACTACTCCAAATATATATTCTTAGTCTGACCACCACTGACCGTTTCAGAAAGAAATCTGCGTCTGATTCTCTGTGCAGATGGGATTTCTGTGTTTTTAAGAACTTGCGTTATTCGTTTTTCCTCTCAGCTCCTGAGTGTAATTCTATTACATTATTGTTGCGTGAGGAGACAAACTACTGAGGAGCCGCGGTCAATAAAATCTGTTGTGCCTTTAAAAGAACCTGATTCATCGTTTTGAGTAAAACAGCTGCAGAGTTGATAAAAGTAGGGGTCTAAGAGCATTAGGTGATTTAGTCTGTAATAATATAAATGTAAACACAGCAGGAGGCATGAAGACAAAGGCGTTATTTGTCTTGAAGCCACTGACTGTTAATCATTGTCCTGGTCTGAATCATGTTGTTCCAAAAATATAAACATAACACGAAAATGATTAATAATAAAAGTATTTAAAATTAATTGAAAATGATTAATTAATGAGAGTCAGATTAATTGATTGGGAGCTTTGAAAATATCTTACAAAGTAAAATTATTTTTTATTAATATTTAATTTAATTTTTTTGTATGAAAATAGTTTAAAAGACCATCAAAACAATTCTGACAGAGTACTAATAAATATATAAACATGATTTAGATCTAACATCAGGTGCAGCATCTGTATCTGTATCAGAACAGAACATTAGGTTTAGCCACGTTAGCGTGACGTAAAGAGTGCACTTACTGGCAACATAGAGACAAGAACCCCCCAGGACCTGTCCATCTGCTCCGTGACACACCAGGTTGTCTCCGGACTTTTGTCGAGAGCCATTCAGGTGGTGTAGGTTTACACTGAGAATGTTGGAGGACACCAGGCTGTAGGTGGCGCTGGACAAACGTATTCCATTCAGCGTCCAGTAAAAGTTGCCGGCGTGGAGGCCGAGGTCAGGGTTCAGGGTGCATGTAGCTGTCAGATTTGAGCCGATGTGCAGGACGGGATCCTGAGGCGAGACCACCGCTACATCTGAGTGATGGACACACACACACACACACACAGAGAGAGAGAGAGTGGCCTCAGGAATTCAAGTTTTTATCATATTTAAATAATAAAATAAACACAAAAATGACACGTTATAAACCTTAATATATTACTAATATATAAGACAAAGCAAATTTAAAAACCTGGTATTTAAATTTTTAGAAAATTAGATTCTGTCTTTAACTATTTTATACCCAAAAAAATCTGTTGTACCTTCTCTGTTCAACCAAAAAAATTTGAAACTAAAAAAAAGTTCATTATGATGCATAATTCTGAAGTGTTATATTTGAGACGTTGAACTTCTTGTCACAGACAAACTTCAACTTCAGTTGATGTTTTCTGAAATGTTTTGTTCCCAAAAAAGCCCCAAACATTTTAGACAAAAACCAACACAAGACAAAAATATCAACAACAACTCTCATTTGTAGTTTTTGCAAATGAGTGATTTTTTTTTGTGTTTGTTTCTTCAGCAGCAGTGGCAGCAGCAGCAGTGGTGGTGGTTTTACCACAGCTCATGTTTATGACCCTGTAATGACGAGGATTTATTGAGCCCCAGAAAGGTCAACTTGGTTTGTCAGTAAAATCTTCCGATGTTTTTTCCATACTGTGACCAGCCGTGGGTCCAGTGTTTACCTGTGTGATTGATGTCCATGACAAAACCCTGTGAGTGTCCATCTGCAGAGATATAACGGTGTTACTCAGGACGTTCAACGTGTTGCTGCTGTTGCTGCTGCTGCTGCTGCTTTTTCCACATCTGCACTGCTTGTTGTTCTGGTGTTATTTGATGAACACACTGATATATAAAACACACGCAAAAAAAATATTGACTTGACTTATTTACTGTTACACAAAATTCAGGTGTGAATTGTATCAGCTAAAAAAAAAAAACAGTGAATATGTTGTGAACATAATTTTGGACATAAAGCAAAAATATATTAATTAATGTTTATGATCTAGATAATTGTCACATTTTTGAAATACCAGTGGATTACAGTTTATAATCTCATCAATTCATAAACATCAACCCCTGAGAAATATGATGTTAGTTTCTAAATCTAATTTAATTCCAGTAGAGAATGACATGTATTATAACTTGAAGATACTTCTCCTAATACTGTTTTTGAAATACCAGTGGATATTATAACTGTAGTCCTCCTGTTTGTTTTATATTGTATTTTCACAATCATGACACTCGGTTTGAACTGTTTTAATGACTTCACCTGTTTGGATCACTATGAACTAGAAAATCAATTTATCATACGATTATAATAACTTTAATATTGGTACATTTATAAATTATTTTCGTGAAATATAATTGTCTTTAAAGACTTGAGATCTTTAAAGGGTGGGTGTTTGGTTCAAACGTGTATAAAAAACAAAGTTAAAACAGGAAACAACAACTCCAAACTCTGTGATTTAAATGTGCTTTAGCTGAGAATGAAGGGCCGTCGGTTTGTGTGGACAGCCCTTCATACTGTACCTATGACAGTTGGAGTAAGGTGGAATAAGGTCAGTCGGTGGAGGAGGAGCTGGGGATGAGCTCTTTATGGAGTTCAAAATGGGATTAAACACGAGAAAAGTGAAGGAACAGTCACGGTCAGGAATACTGAAGTAAAACTAGGACTGGTTCAGATACTTACGTGTCGAGGAGAAGAGCACGTGTGGAACAAAAAGAAGAAGAAGAAGAAGCAGGAACATGAAGTAGAACATGCCTTTTTCTGATGAGCTTTCTCCACAGATGTCCTTTACACACGGAGCAGCGAAGTTCTGGAGGAGGAGGAGGAGGAGCGGCTTCTCTCCCTACGGTGGCTGGTCTCACAGAAAGTGTGTGACTCCTCCGTGGACCCTTCACTGATCAAATGGTGCAGGAGGAGGCGGAGGAGGAGACGCAGGAGGCGGAGGAGGCAAACAGGACCAGGTTTGGTTCTTGGAAACTCCAGAGGAACGCCGCTCCGCTCCTCCTCCTCTGTCCGCGCACACAGCCTCCGTAGTCATTAGTGCTCCTCCATCTGTCTCCTCCCTGAGTACGCACGCGCGCACACACATGGAAACGCTGCTCCGAATCTTGTTCAGACGTTGATGGTGGGTCGTGGCTCAGAAACGTTAACGTTGATCCTCTGTAAAGGTGAAGATGCTGCCGGAGCCTGTCAGTCAGTGCTGCAGGTACACAGCAAACCACGTGTAGACCCGGGCTTCAACTCTGTGACAAATGTCAAAGTTGTGACCACAACTGAAGTGGTTTTAGTAAAACACCAAACGCGTACCGAGTGTAGAATACGTGTGGTGTTGAAGTACAACTGAGGACAGGCTCATTATTGCAGTTTGTTTTATTTATTATTTAGTGGGACTTTAGATTTGGTCGGTGTCGCTTTAAGACATTTGTCGTCTTTTCTTGAAGCACATGAAGTTCTTACAAATGTACATGTGTCCTTTTTGTTCTGCAAATATGCAAGAGATTATATTTCTTTTCTTTGTTTGTGGAAATACTTTACAGTACTTTGGAATTTTACTCTTCAAACGGCACAGCCACTAGCAAGGATTATAGGGCTTTGTAGGGCTTTATTCCCACATATACTGTATGTGAAGGTGATTCTCTCACATTAATATAATGGATCAAAGCTAGTTTATGGTCCCATCATACACCTGGACTCATTTACCTTTTCAGGGTTGATAAATCTAGGTCATAGACCAGTGATCATCAAATGCGAGCCAAATCAAATCTGCATAGTAACAGGATTCCAAAATAAACAGAAAAAATAGAAAAAAGAAAAGAAAATCATTTTTATTTGAATGTCCGGCCCCCGAGGTGTCTGTCCAGAAATATTCTGTCCCTCCCATGAATATATTCGGTGACCACTGTGTTACATCAGTGTTTCCCAAACTTTTTTTCTGGGGACCCATATTTTAAAAGTCACAAACCTTCACGACTCAACTCAATAGACATTATTCATAAACTCCTGGAAAACATGATGCGAGACGGCCCAAAAAAACTCTTGTGACCCACCTGAGGATCACGACCCGATCTTTGGGAAACAATGTCCTACACTGTACATACAGTACTACTTTGATACCATCACAAAGAAGTTAGGCACAAATACACCAACAGTAGATGGTCATGTTTGGAGGGAGAAAGTATCTGCTACTGAATTTAAACGAAACCATTTTTTGGGACCAGGTGTTGTTCCAAACGTCACATCAACGTAGAACTAAAATGTTTAACTTTTTATTTGTGAAATGTGAAACATTTGATGAGAAAAAGATTCAGTCATGGAGTTAAATGTAGGACAAATGGAGGACAGTGTTGATAGGTGTAGCAACCTCTCTGGACAGATCTGTCCGTTATCCAGAGACGCTCAGACCTCGTCAACTTGTACTTTTGGTCAATGGGAAAGTCTGTTCTAAGACTTTGGTCAAACAGCTGATTTGAAGGATCTTAATTTGAGAAGAACATTAGACTTGAACAGCAGATGTTTTACTGGATTCTGTGGAGTCGTGTTAGCCTGTGGGTCGATGTGGGCTGACTAATACTTAGCATTTGTTGGAACATGTTTTTCTTATTACCAGCTCTGGGTTTCCTGAGAGTCAAGATTTGGTTTAAGGCTTATGGTTAGAACTGTAACGTTATGACATGAGTGTACTTTAAAGTGTATATTGTGTGTGTGTAGTGTTGATCTTGTGGGGGAGGGGTGAGGCGTGTGACGCCATGAGCACATAGACCAGAGGAGCAGACAGGAGGCTGAGGCAGCAAACTCAGAAGGAGCATCATCATCATCATCATCATCCTCCTCCTCCTCCTCATCATCCGCACCAGCACCTCCGCCACAAAGGAACCGCTTCGCCGCCCACTGCTCCTCCTATCCACGGGCTCTGAGATGCTCCTTCTCGGCAGCAGGATGTGCGAATTCTCGGCCCTACTCTCCGTGCTCCTGGCCGGACTTGCGGCGTTGGCGGCGGCGTCCACGGATGTTTTCAACAACCAGCTGGGCGACATCAGCTACTGCAAAAAACAATGCCAGCTCACCATCAAAAACAAAAGCCCCGCTAAAGTAAGTCACTGCTGCCGTGCGCGCTATCGTCTCCTTCAGGGCTGTGTGTGCGGGAGGTGCTGTATCAGCATCGAGCCGCATCTTTGTGCTCGACCTCCCACAGACTGCACCCAAACACAGACGCAGTCTCTGTACCACGGAGGTGCAGCGGTACAGCAGGCCTGGCCGTGTTGTGATCCCGGGCAGCTGCAGGTGCCATGCTGGCTGCACAATGTCAGGCTACAGCCTTTTCAGCCACGTTATCGTCAGGATTGACACCATAATGCAGCTCATTTTTTTATTTCTCCTTTTCAAGGACTCGTCACTGAAGAGACGCGACTTTAGAGCTCGTCGTCTCTGTGAATGTTGTGGTTATCGTGGCGTTTCACGGTGCATTATATCAGAGGCCGCTGCTGAGAGGCACTGACACAAACATGTTTTACTGCCACACTGGACCACAGCAGGGCCTCGGACCACTGCATTGTGTCAGTGCCTGTGCATCTGCCATCACCGTCTTCAGGTGTGGTTCAGACATCCCGCAGGGCAGCAGAAGCAGAGCTGCAAAGCTTGAAAAAAAAAATAGATAAAAAAATAAAAACATGCATATAGTGTTTACACGTGATTCGTGTAGTTCAATCAAGTGATTTATTTATTTATTTTCATGATAAGAATAATTCAAGAGAGTGGTTAAAAATTCGAGGCTAAAAAAGAAGATTTTTTTTGTCTTTTTTGTACTCAGGCAGTCTTTGTTCTGTTCTGTTCCCTAGAATGTCACCAGGGGGCGCTGTTTCTTCACTTTACAGTGTTCTTAAAAGCTTTGTGACAGGAGAAAGGCCTCGTGTTATTGACCAACCATTGTCTCGTATTTAAATAACTTTAACTGAAGGCTTCTCAGCAGCTGTTTATGGCAGGCTGCCGTGGAACCGCTGCATCTTATCATTACCGTCCGTTTGTACAAACACAGTGGAAGAGGAATTTCTAGTTCTGCAGAACCCAAATGTCTCTCTCTCTCTCTGTGTTTTGCTCCTAGGACTCTGTAATGAACGCCTGTCACCGTGGTTGCCGCCTCTACTCCATCTGTCAGTTCGTCAATGGAAATGCTGGTTTCAACACCAGCAGGGAGCAGTGTCAGGGAGGTGAGTCAGCTGATCCTCAGGATTCAAGGGCTGGAGTATATGTCTGTACTGTTCATGACCAGCGCTGACTGTTTAAACCAATAGACACCTGGTGTTTACACCAGAACCAAACTGTGTCCATAGTCGGCTGCAGCTCGTCCTCTGTTTGATAAAAAATGCACTACAAACAAGTTTTAAAATAAAATGTCCCGTGGACACTCTCTGGCTGTCTGTCCACTTTGAACTGCTGTAGAGGAAATCAATGATGTGATTTGCTGCCAGCTGAGGTCCAATAACACGCTGTTTGGAAAATGACATCATCGAGGCCGTTGGATACTTCCAGGTGGAATCTTCATCTGTCTTTACTGGCCTGTGTCTCCTGACGTCCTCTGGTTTTGAACTCCTGATGTATTTATCTACATTTATTTCACCATCCTTCTGTCCTCTTCAGCCTGTCAGGAGGCATACGTTAAGCTGCTGGAGCAAGACGCCTGCAGCACCGGCTGTGCCAGCCAACCCTCTGAACCTGAGATCCTGAGGAGGAAGGTGAGAATGACACACACACACACACACACACAGACAGACAGAGTATCTGCTCTAAGTGGATTTTATAAATCAGACGTTGCAGGATCTGGGTGGAGGTTAAATCCACTTAGAATACAGGAAGTTCTCCAGTGTCCTGAATGACTATGAGTTTACATATAGATGTATGTAAGATTCTGCCTTCTTCTGCTCCATACATGATGTGTGTATATGATGTATTTTCTAACGATCCTAACAAAGTCTTCATCACCAGTTCTTTCTAATGTGGTTGTAACACACAGACCTGACATCATCCTGCCTGGAACTATTGATTCAGACCAGTGTCTCCTCTTCTTCTCCTTATGCAGCTGAAGGCCATGACACTGCGCCCAAAGCCTACCTCTGTGATGGAGGCTGTGTCCAGCTGGTGCAACGACATCGTCAGCTCTGCCCAGAGCTTCATCTCCTCCACCTGGACTTTCTATCTGCAGGCTGATGATGGCAAAGTCGTTGTTTTCCAGGTGAGTCCAAACTAAATTCGAGCAGCTGTGACTGAACACACTGAACTGCACACACACACACTGAACACTGCTACTGCGCCACTGCCAAGACAGAACTAAACCATCTCGACAACAAAATGCAACCAAAACAGAAAAAGCCACATACTTGGACTTTAAAATGCAGTATGCAGTTTAAAATGGTACTAAGGAACTAACTGGAACTGATGCTGATGCTGAGTCTGACCACAGCCAACCAGAAGAGGAGGCAGAGCTTTGTCTCCCTCTAGAGCAGTGGTTCTCAGTTATTTTCTCTCATGCCCCCCATTGAGGACAAAAATGTTAAATGATATGAAAAATCCTAAAATAGTTTTATATCAAAATTATATAAATAACTCAGACCAGTTCTATTTGCGTCACATTGTTTTTTTGACACTATACTGTGTCGTATAGTCTGGAAAATACACTCTAAAATTGTACTTTTTAAAATTGTATTTCCCTGTTGTTCAAGAAGAACAACAACTGCCTCTCTAACCTTCCCAATGTCACAACTGCCACAGTCTGCCTCTATGTCCACCTGTCTCCTGTCTCCTCTACTGTTATAGTACACCATTCATCTCACTGACCTGCTTCAGTACCTGTACCCTGACTGGGCCGTAAACCATATAATAGATAACAACACTCAGTCTTTACTATTCACCATTCAGTTTAGATGGTGATAATTGGAGTTTTTCTGAGGCTGTCATTGGGTAATAGTTAATGAACAGGTAAATCTGACTGGACTTTAATATGTGTACCTTAGCTTCCTGCCAAAACCTTTCACAGACCACAGACATTTTGAAGACTGACTGAGCAGGAGAGCATTACGGTCAGACGGTCAACGTCTTTTGGAGTGAATTATGGACGTTTCTTCTTCGTAGTGGTGACACACAGACCGAGGTAGAGCTCCGTGTTGCTGTGAGAAGACAATCAGGCTTGTGATTGGTTGATTCCATGGGCAGTCCAGAGAGAAACTACCCAGTGTTTTCTGAAATGAAAATTCTAGGGACATAATAAAAAGCCAAGTGGAGAAAACCATTCACTACTGAAGCAGTGGCTGTGTTGTTGTTGACCTGTCACTCTTCAAAGTTAAACCTTTACATTAATACCACCAAATTACCTAAAATCTAAATCTAAAAAGACTTAAAAATGCCTTCATAATATAGATAATTAACTTTTGCATAGTTAAGTAGTATAGTAGTAGTAGTAAGTATAATAAAAAGTATAAAGGTAAAAGTATAATATTAAATATTTTAAAATATGTAATTAATATTTAAAAATTACTAGTTGTATTATATATTAATATAATGAGTCATACAAATTATATTTTAAATCATATGATATATTAATATATAAAATACTATATATTAATATCATTTAATTAATATTTAAAAATATTTTTCTTGTACCTGGGTGATATAATGAGTCGTCTGCATATTATTTCCATACAAGAACAGTTTAGCATTTTTTGGTACAACCAAGGAGTTTGGGAGTTTATTGTCGTTCTTACTCAACACACCACAGTCCTGTCGCTCACACTGTAGGTTGGAACTGACAAAAATCCCATCACTACTGAGCCGACGGCTGCACATAAAATAGAACTCAACAGGATCTAGGTTTCAAACGTAGAGCTGCTGCCAGCCCTTCCTTTAGCCTAAAGCTACAGTACAGCTAACACGCTAAATCAGGACTTTTTGTTTAAAGAAAGGACCTAAAGGCTTTATGAGAAAAAAATCTGCTGAATAGGTTGATTTTTTTGTTTTTGTTTTTTGGCTTTAGATCAACACAAAATAAAAACCAGTTTAAGCCCAAACAGACATTAAATTCAGTTTACTAATTTGGAGGAAGTAAATGTCTTGCACATGAAGCGAGACATTTACCAAATGGACTTTCCTTCCGTAGCCTTTTGTCCTTTTTCATTTTGTCCTCTCCAGTTTTGCACATCTGGGCAGCATGAATGTGTACATGCACATTAAAATGGCTGGACGTGATCAAAGAAACACCGACATAGAAGTCAAAATAAGGACAAGTTGATGGCTGAATGGCTACGTAGCATACCAATTAGCCTCCTGGTTTGACTCCAGACTGTTTCCTGTCTGTCCCACTCTGTGTCTCCCTCTCTCCTTCGTTAGTCCTCTCTGGGTTTCTGTAAACCAAAGCAACTCTCCCTGGAGTAATGCATGACAGATGGGAATCAGGCTCTGCTCATATTGTTGCTTAAATCTGTTGGGTCTGCAACCAATGAGAAGCATCTCTCACATCTACCTACCCTCACCTACCCCCAGATCTTCACTGCTAAACACCACATCTGGTTTCCATGCACTTTGTCAGAAAACATTGCTCACCGTGGGCTAATAAACCTGGCCGTGGAACAACATTTTTAACAACAAATGTTCGTGGGGTTTTAAAGTGCTTCAGGCGGAGGAAAAAAAACCCCCAACAAGAAACATATTGGTCTTTTGTCAGTCTGCATAAGGGAAGAGGATCAATAAACAGGAAACATATCATAGTCTAAATAAAGGAACAAAGACAGTGAACAGAGAATGGTAATGTTGGGAGGCAGCAGAGGCTTTCAAGGTCGTCCATTAGGGTACGCATTTGGATCAATAGATAGTCGTACAGATAACAACATGGTACGTGTGTGTGTGTACGTGTGTGTGTACGCGTTGCTTTGGCCAGCAGTAGTTTTTGAACAGCCACCTACTGCTGCAGAAAAGTCAGGAGAGAGGAACCATAATCCCATTTTAATGAGTCCTCAGGAGCAACCAAAACAA